CACACACACACACACACACACACCACACACACCACACACACACACACACACACACACCACACACACACACACTCACACACACACTCACACACCACACACTCTTTGTAAACATTTAGTTTGATGACTTTCCAAGATGCCCCCCCCCTCTCTTTATAACTCCTCGTTAGATAAAGACATATTTATTTTCTGCAGACGCGTCATTAAGGGAACTCGTGGCCTAGATAGCATGCTCACATATAGAGAGAGAGAGACTGGGAACATATTCAGATTGATTCTGGATCACCTCACACCTATCAATAAGTGCATGTTCCATCAGGGAAGCACACTCACACTTTGTTTTACATCTGAATAAAGTCATGTTGCATCTCTTTGTGGTCATGTGATCATTGTCATGTGACATACACAGCTGATCAGTCATGTGACTATGTGATTCTGTGGAAGTTCAGCATCCATCACTAGAAGAGACTAAAATCTGTTGTTTTTGTGGCTTATTTGATCATTTCCCTTTACCTGTGTCCAGAGACATTTAGCCTGTTAGCTTCGACTCCCCCCCCTCAGCAGAAAGACCGTCAGGGGGGGAGGAGTCAGGGGGGAGGCAGGGGGGGAGGAGTCAGGGGGAGGCAGGGGGGAGTCAGGGGGGGAGGAGTCAGGGGGAGGCAGGGGGGAGTCAGGGGGGGAGGCATCAATCTCCCTCTGCAGGACGGATGTTAGCGGCCTGCAGAAACCCTCCATCAAACTGTTAGCTGTGGCCTACTTTACACACACACACACACACACACACACACACACACACACACACACACACACACACACACACACACACACACACACACACACACACACACACACACACACACACACACACACACACACACACACACACACACACACACACACACACACACACACACACACACACACACACACACACACACACACACACACACACACACACACACACACAGGTATCTGAGGAGGGGGGTCAGGACAGGAATAACTGCATATTAATTAGAGAAACTAATGGCACTACTAGTTGTAGAATAACATTTTTCACGTGAGAAAACAAAGAAACGCCGCAAATTAGAGCCGAAAGCAGCAGAAATATTCAGTTTTGTATCATTCAAAACCCACAAGACACATCCAATTAGAGATGAGACGTCCACAATATTCACTTTACTATCATTTGAAACCACAGAAAATATTGAATTAGAGCTCAAACCACCAGAATATTCAGTTTGATATCATTTCAAACCAAGACAGGCTGCTACTCAGAGCTGAAACCTCAAAGATATTCATTTTACTATCATTTGAAACCCCAGAAAATGTTAAATTAGAGCTGAAACCACCAGAATATATACTTAACTATCATTTAAAACCAATTGAAACAGCAAATTAGAGCTCAAACCACCTACATATTCATGTAACCATCACTTATAACTCCCAGAAAAACTCTAATTAGAGCTCAAACCACCAACACATTCACTTTACTATCATTTAAAACCAAAAACAACTTCATACCAGCTCTGAAGATCATTTCAAACTCTAAATGGACCTTAAAGTGTGTCAAAAAGGACCCTTTGCACCTGAAAAGTCCTGAGAACGAACTCAGAAACCTTCCCCTGCAGACGAAGAGCATGCAACATGTCAGAAAGCTCCAGAACAGTCTTTAATTAAACATATTTAATCCACAATTATCTGTATTTTCTGTGCATTTCCTCTCAAAAAGAGCCGTATTTCCATTTGAAACCCTGCAGAAGTCACCTCACTGGAGGCACGGCGTTATATATAAATATATTTATACATGATGGATATTTTAGCAAAAGGCAATAACTCTAAATCTAACCAACGCCACGGAAATCAGATTTGACCCCCGCCTTAAAGAGAAGTCTTATATGTATAAAAACAGAGGGGGATTTAATCCTCGGAGACGAAGGGAACGACACATGCATCAATATTTTCTGAATACTGCTTATTACCCACAATCCCCGGGACGGCTTAATGTGCAGACAGATGCACGCTGTCACAGGAAATACAAACGCTCATCTGAATCTATTAACCAGGCAGCCACACACACACACACACACACACACACACACACACACACACACACACACACACACACACACACACACACACACACACACACACACACAGGTATCTGAGGAGGGGGGTCAGGACAGGAATAACTGCATATTAATTAGAGAAATTAATCGCACTACTAGTTGTAGAATAACATTTTCCACGTGTGAAAACAAAGAAACGCTGCAGAATTATTTAGTTTTATATCAGTTAAGACCCCCAAGAAACATCCAATTAGACCTGAAACCTCCCAAATATTAACTTTACTATAATTTAAAACCAATAAAACCATCGAATTAGAGCTCAAACCACCTAAATATTCATGTTTCTATCACTTCTAACTCGCTGTCACAGGAAATACAAACGCTCATCTGAATCTATTAACCAGGCAGCAACACACACACACACACACACACACACACACACACACACCACACACACACACACACACACACACACACACACACACACACACACACACACACACACACACACACACCACACACACACACACACACACACACACACACACACACACACACACACCACACACACACACACACACACACACACACACACACACACACACACACACCAACCTGTCCTCTGCCAGGGGCCGCTTGTTGGCTTTTTAGGGGCCAAGAAGTCCCGGTGCCAGAGCTTTATTCCCCCCTCTTCACGGGGACGTTTGATTGGAGCACCTGGGTCCATCCAGTGCTTCTCGTTATACCAACACAGCCCTATTTCCAGAGCCCTCTCACCCCCCTCTGCTGGGAGCTGCTGAATGATAAATGGTCCTATTAGCAGGCCAGATTGTTAAAGTGTGATACAACAACTCCCCCCTCCTCGCTGTAAATAAATATGTGCAAACAACATATTAAAACTCGGCATTAAACGTGTGCTTGGGAAGTGCCGGGGATAAATAACATGGCTTCTGACAGGGAGTAAAGGGAGATATATACGAGGGTTCAAGGCCTGAATATTCACTTATCAGCCACATGGCCTCAGGAATAATAATAATGCATATTACGCCCGTAAGTAATCGCTGTGTCACCGCGCCGCTATCTGATTGGTCGACGGCGTGTTTGTTTAAGATTAAAACACGGGGGAGGAAGAGTTATGGAGGAGGGGAGGTGGGGTTTAGTTTTTATTTTAAGGGCCAGGGGAGATTAAAGAGTCAGGGGCTAGGATTGGAAATGGAGAATGTGTTGAATATACAACGAGTTGGAGCGAGATGAGGTCACAGCGGGGGTCCCGGGGTTTATACTGTCGTGTTCCTGTGTTTAAATAAAGGTTTTATTATCAACTCACCAGAGCAGGTACTCCTTCAGCGATGACTTCGAACTAACTTTGAGATTTCATGAATAAAATACCAAGTAAGTAAGAAAAACTTCAGAGCTGAAACCTCCACCATGCAAAACAATAATAAAAAGCCAATTAAAGCTGAAATCTGTTAAATATTCATTTAAAACCAGGAGAAGCATCCAATTAGAGCCAAACAGTCCGTTTTCTATCATTTAAAACCAAGATAAACACATTTAAAAAGCTCAAACCTCCAGATTCTCTAGTTTTCAATCCATTCAAACCAAGAAAAATCTGCTAATTAGAGCTGAAAATCTCCACAAAATTCAACATCTAAGCAAAAGAAAATATCAAATAAGAGCTGAAACCTATTAAATATGTATTTTACTATCATTTCAAAACCCTACAAACAACTAATTAGAGCCTTCAAAATACGCTGTTTTCTATAATTGTAAACAAAAAAAGCATCAAATTAGAGCTCGAACATTCAAAAATTCAGCTTTCTATCAATTAAAGCCAAAAAACCTGTCAATTAGAGCTCAAACCTCCAGTTTCCCACCACGTCAAACCAAGAAAAGCTGCACATTCTCACATTTAGAGCTTAAACCCCCACATATTTTGCTCAAAACTCATATTTTGCAATGCTTTAAACAGATAATCAGCTGTTTCTGCACACCGCACTGATTCCTGCTGCAGAGAGCACGGGGTAGAGATGCAGCTTTGTTCAAATACACCCGTAACACGTGGATCTCCCCCCGTTAGTGGTACTTCTCCCACTTTGTTCTTTAACGAGTGTCTGTACCTCCGTTACGTCCAAATCTCACGTTCAATTTGCATTTCAAAGTCGAGCCGTCACTCTGCATCTCTGTCGTCTAAAGTCTCTGGAGGTGTGTGAGCCTCGTTATACCAGCTTTCATCACACACACACACACTCTGACATCTATCAACGATATTGTGTGTGTGTGTGTGTGTGTGTGTGTGTGTGTGTGTGTGTGTGTGTGTGTGTGTGTGTGTGTGTGTGTGTGTGTGTGTGTGTGTGTGTGTGTGTGTGTGTCACTGTCATGTTCTGATCAGTGCTACCGCTCACACACTCAACGCTCTTTACACTAAAGCGACCCTAAAAACTGCTTTTTACAGTTTTGTATTTTTAAATGTTCTCATTTCCTCTGAAGGGATCATGACTTTGCTTCTGAAAATATTAGAATATTTATTCAATTTTAATTATTTTTCTAATTCTTTTATTTATCTTGAAAAATGTGGAACTTTTATCACTTTTTAATCTTAAAATATTGGAATTCTTTTAATAAAATAAAGTAGTTTTCTTGCAATTTTCTAATTTAATTTAAATAATTGTATAATATTATTTGATTCAAATGAATACTTCGCATTTTTGCATTGGCTACTTTTACTGTTAACACTTAACATGCAGGACCGTGTCTTCACTTCTTTAAAGTCCGCGGTGTGTTTAGGATTCCTGTCAGCGAGTCGCCTCTGAGGCCCGAGGACCCTCCTCTCTCACATTCATATTTAATGTGTGTGTGTGCGTGTGCGTGTGTGTGTGCGTGTGCGTGTGCATGTGTGTGTGTGTGTGTGCGTGTGTGTGTGTGTGTGTGTGTTACCTGGAGTCTCTGAGGGTTTCTTGTGCAGCTCGGGGAATCCGCTGCCGTCCATCTTGTCCTTCCTCTCCGAGGCTCTCGATGTCTCCATGTCCAAAGTAAAAACGCTCTCTGTGGAAACACAAAGACACGTTATAGAGCTGAGGAAGAGGAAGAGGATGAAGACTCTTCAGCGTTCAGAGCACTCAGAGTTTAAACACACTTCAGTGAAGAACACACACCTTTCAGAGAGGCTGGAAACCCCTTTCTCTCCAATCATCATTACACATTTCCGTAGATCCACTTATACGTGCAGCTCTGCAGGGAATGCACGACATAAAAGTGCATTTTCTAAATATTCTGGATTATTCTTGGAGTGTGTTTGACTTTCTATCCAAAAACAGGGCTCTTTTTTTTGCATTATGAGTTCATTTTCTGATAGTTTTCTATATTAATGTCTTTAAAAAGCGTGGGAGAAATATAGGAGAATTTCCACGGCAGTTCCTCAGAGTCAAAGGAAGTGTGTTTCAACATCTTAAAACCTAAAAGGCCCTAAAATAACAATATAAATACAAAATCTGCACATTTTAAACTGGATTTGATCAGACACAGTTCGTATAAAACTCCTTGTAGTAAAAACTTGAGAAATTATTTTGTATTTGCTTTAAATTATCGAAAAATTCTGACCTTTTTTATTTAAATATTCCAACATTTGACACAAATGCGTATTTTTCGAAATATTCAGGATTTCTTTTATACAAAGTCATTCCATCTATGAAAGGTTAGAACATGTTGAAAATACATTAAATTTAAAACAAAATAAAACAGAGAAAAGCAGCCGTTTAGTTCCAGGTTGTCCCGTCTCCTTCAAACTAAATCTCCGGCTAATTAGTTAATTAATTAACTTAAATTAGGACCAAGATAACGACTCAAATGCAGATTATTGCACAGCTTGTTCAACCCCCTCCTGTTCATCCATTCATAAATCCTGCAGTCTTTAATGTCTCAGCGCTTCTTGTTTATTTTACTAACTCCACCAGAGGGTTCGGGTTAGGGGTCTCTGGGGTCAACGGGGGGTCTTCAGAGTTTATCTGACCTCTCCCCCTGAGTCTCTGACTGTGTTTATCTTCAAAGAGACTTTATTTAAACTGCATTTAAATACAAACACATGAAGGAAGCAGACATTTAAGCCTCTCGGTTATTAAGTCGTAAAAATGATAGAAAACGACCACTTTGTTGATGAAACAAATGCAATGTGATTTAAATAAAGTTCTGAATGCTTTTGACTTCTAGTGGAGTTTTATTTGGAGGATTGAAGTTAGATAAGTTAAATGCATGACTTAACTTGGAGTATTTCTACTTTAAAGGCCATTTTTAATGCAGTATTTTGACTTCTTATTGCATATTTTTACAATTATTGGTATCATATTTATTACATTTAGGTAATTCAAGTGACTTTGCATGGAGAATTCTGACATTTAAAGGAATATTTGTACATGTTTTGAGTCCGTTTTGACTTCTTATTGCATATTCCTACATTTTGGAACAATTTTAAATGCAGAACATGTGTGTCTGGCGTTTCCTCAGGGTTAGTTTCAGCCTCTTTATCTAAAATATATTTAATTTACTATCATTTGATTCTCCAGTAGCTTCCTAACAGTGTCTCTTCACTCACACACAGTTAGCTGTAAAGTCTTTACTACTGAGGATCAATCAGAGCAACAGGTGAAGCATCATGGGAACACACACACGCACACACACACACACACACACACACACACACACACACACACACACACACACACCCTCTGATCTCTCCATCAGTCTGAACATGTGCTGTTCACACGTTAGCCGTTAGCAGCTAGGTGTTAGCTCCTCTGCAGCCTTTTCAAACTACTTTAAAATAACAAACCAAAGTGTGAGTATTTGTGTTTTTCTAAGGAGGTAATATAATGTCAACAGTTCAGAGTCACTCACTGACAGATGTGGAGGAAGTATTTAACGGATTTACTGGAGGAAAAGTAGTAAAAACAAACATTGAAATACTGAGAATGTAAGAGCATTAGCGTTAGCATTAGCGTTAGCATTAGCTCGTTGTGAATGAGAGGCTAACGGCTCGTTAGCATGTCAATAGCTCAGTTAGTGTGTGATTAACTGCCCCCCTCCCTGCAGGATCAACACAATGGTTCATTAGAGGCTAATAGAGACCCTAACAATGATGTTATTTAAGGATACAATAAGCTAAGACCCCCCTCTTTATCTCCATTCATTAAACCAATGGGGGAGATTTCAGGAGAAGTTTTCTGTCTCAAATATTTGACTTTCTGCAGTTTTTCTAGCACGCATCTATGACGTACATTATACATTTTGTGCTTTTCCCAAAAACTAACTATTTACTCTAAATAATACCTTAAATATTCATAATTTTTGACGTTATTCTCCATGCTTTGACACTAATTTGAACATTTATCCAACTTATTTCCTGTGAAATTGTTATAAAAGTATGTTTTTTGCAGTTGAACTTGCAGACTTCATGATTTGCATTGGGAATTGTGGCTTTTTTCTACATGCTTTTACCTGCATTTAATCATTGATTCGTTATTTAGGATAATGTGTTGCACAGTGATCACAAATCAAGTTGTTTTTTTCAGTTTTACTTGCACTAAAATGATGATTAATTGATGCACATTGTGAATGATGACCTTTTATACAGTGTCACAGAAATAGTACCTCCTTTTGCATGCATTTGGATTTATACTGGATTTTCTCTGCACAACTGCACCAAAAATGTCAGTTTTTTGTAGATTTACTTGCATTCACTTATTGATTTCTTAATGCCTATTATAAATTACAATCTTCTTTTAACTTTTTAATAAATGTCACATTGTATTTCCTTCTGGAGGAGCGGCATGAAGCCTTTCTGTGTACGAGGAATCGCTCTGAACTTACGGTGAGTCTCGCAGAACAACACTCTGACACCTTGTTGGTATAAACTTAACACACACACACACACACACACACACACACACACACACAAAGAGGCGGCTGCAGGTGTAGCGGCGTGTGTGTGTGTGTGTGCCTCAGCAGCTGAGTTATTGCAGCCGCTCTGGTGAAGCAAACAAACGAGTGTGTGTCTGCTGTAAAGGTCACACACTGCACCGTAACGTCTCACACACACACACACACACACACACACACACACACACACACACACACACACTTTCTAAGGGCCACTTGCAGGAATTTATGGCGGGGCCTGCACCTATTCTCTGCTGAATAATAGGGATCCCGTAAAGGGAGCTGGGGTCGGGCGAGACTTAAATAGAATACAGCTCCAGCGCTGTTGTTTATAGAGGCTAACATGACATTTGAATTTACACACACACACACACACGCACACACACACACACCTCCTTTAACTCCAGGAGCACGGAGGATATAGTGCCGCTGTCTGTGTGATGGTAATATCCTGCAGCTGATCTCAGACCTGTGACAGCAGTTCACTCTCTGTTAGCTTCATGCTACCTGTGAGGATGCTAACAGCAACTTCTGGTCATGCATTCATTCTTTAACGTCCACTGCATTGTGCAACATCTGACAATATAAAGTAGGATTTTGCTGTGTGTTTGCTAACTTTCCCCACGTTTAAGCAGCACTGTGCACACGTACGCTCCACACCGTTAAATATGTCTTCATGTTTGATTATTTTGGTATCTGACAGTGTGCATGTGCAGCATGAAGGATTATATACAGGAGCTGTTTTTAGGTTGAGATTAACCGGCAACATACTGCAGAAGAATCTACAAAGAACTGTATAAAAGTCTACTGAAACACTTTGGAAAGGCCAGCAAATACTGCAGATCAATGCACAAAATACTGGGGGAAAGGACATAAAACTTTTGTTAAAACCAAATAAATACCTGCAGAAAAAGCCACTAAATATCTAAGAAATATCTAGAAAGAAATCTACAAAATCCTGGAGAAAAATACACAAAATGTATGCTGCTCTGACCTCTGACCTCGCCAAATGTTACGCTGCAGCTCGCTGTGTCTCTCTCACGTCCTCTGCCCCCCCCCACGTCTCCATCCACACCTACAGGAAGTCACCTTTCACTTATCTGCTCATGCTGTCACTCCTGGAGGATTGAACAGTTTAGTCAAATAACAGTTAAGGTGTAATGTTCATATTTAAATCTAAACTGTTCAAAAAAGGTCAAAAACAACTGCAAATGTTTTAAAATACACTGAAAAATACTTTTAAACTCATTTAAAAACGCCTTAAATGTGACATCCAGGTGAGAGAAGAGCATGTAGTCTCTCTGCAGAGGACAGATTCATGTCAGGGTCTTGTTCTCCTGAAAGCAGCAGCCTCTGAAAGCTATGTTTTAACCCCAAAAACCACAGAGCTCCGTACGAAGCTGTGCAGCTTTGTGAAACCAGGGCCTGGAGAGCATCCTGAAACGCATCCTGAAACGCAGGGTGCTGCAGGGCCCGAGAATAAGCATCCTTATATTGGTGTTCAAATATCTCAAATCAATCTTTTAAAAGTCTTGAAACTGTTAAGACTTAAGGAGTAGGGTCTCTCTGTGGTTGCATTGTAATATCTCAAAGTTATCTGACATCTTTGCAAAGAAATGGGTTTTTCTGAAGGTGTTTTGAAGGTCGCGCAGATCTGAGAGTGAAGTTGGTATCATTACAGCACTTCATTTGTCCGCAGACATCATGGAGTTTGTGCTTTAACGTACGGCTGCTCTGCGTGTCCAATTATACCAGCCCTTTTCTACGTAGTGCTGCACAAAGTCCTGCTGAAAAACTAAAACATATCCACTAAAATCAAATCCTACAGAAAGGTCCAGAAGATATTGGAATAAATTATAAATAAATCCACAAAATCCTTTGAGCAGAAAAATATGAGGGATAAATTCTTGAAGATCACGTCAAACAAATTTACTGAGAAGTGTTCTGTCAGACGACACGAGAAACTTCTTCTGACAGAACACACACACACACACACACCACACACACACACACACACACACACACGCACACACACACACACACACACTGAGAATCAAAGGTCCCGTGGTTCCTCTCCTCTGCAGCCGCAGCTCT